TCAGCTTTCATATCCAGGTAGTGCTTTGCTGCCTTGGTGACCTCTGGGTCTGAGAGGGTTGCGGTTACAGGCCACCGCTGCTAAGGAGGCATGTGATCATACAGTAAGAACTATTCCATCTAACAGCTACATCCTGGGTCAACTTGTGTTGAGCTGTGCCCATTTGCTCTTGTTTGAGTTTCAACTTCAGGGTGGCGACATCGCTGCTATGGAAGTACCCGGCGAGGCTCCTTGCTGCCCCAAGTGCCTTGTTGATCCGGGGATCTTTCAGAGCATGGTTGACGATCAACTGGGTGGTATGGCCAGCACATCGAAGTGAGGCAACGCCATGCCTCTCCTCAAGGATTCTAAGGGCTTTCACCACATTAGCTGCATTATTGTGGACAATCGCCTGGACATCATCACAGAGAGAGAAGTCAAACTTCTCGGCAACCTCTTCAATCCAGTGAGCGATGTTTTCTGCAGTGTGTCGGTCCTCAAGGGGCTTTGTGTACAAAACGAATGAGACCATCTCCCAGTTGTCGTTGATGTAGTGGCAGGTCACTCCGAGGTATGCCTCTGTGGCAATACTTGTCCAGGCATCGTGGTGAGTGTGATTTTTGAGGACCTCTTCTTTAGGTCTTTCTTCAGATCTTCAAGAGTACATTGATATGCCTTCTCCAACTGCTTTGTGAACCACCACCTGGAGGGACATTTGAAGCCTGGGCAGGCATATTCGATCATGTCTATGAAGGCTTCACCCTCAACAAAAGACAAAGGCCTCATGTCTTTGACGATCACCTGTAAGATAAAGAAAATTATTATTAACAACATGAACATAGTACCTTTCATAGAGCCATATGTTGCTTACAATGTAAGAAGAGTAATTAGTAGACAATCCAAACAAGGACACAAAGAAAAGGGCCAAGTTAACTGAAGAAACACCCATAACCTAGCTAATAAATATAGGAAAATACAATACAAAAAATGGGCACAGCCATTCCATCCTAAGAGATGCTCAAAGCAAGCAACAGTGAGCTAATAATTACTTACTCTCAAGATCCTTTTGCTCAGTTTGGCTGCCTTCTGTGGAGTGCATTGCGTCTCTTTCCCAAGATAGGACGGCAAGGTTCTTTGCTTTGTCCTAGAAAACACAAAATCAATGCATATTAGAACAACAGCTATGGCAGTGGGGCATTTTAAATCTACTCTTAACCTCATTGCAGTGCTATGCTATGATTAGTTTATTTGAATGCTAATGTGGCCACACACACACACACACACACACACACCTGAGCGGAGCAGGACAATGGCTTCAGAATAACAAAGCTAGCGCTAGCTCAACGAGCTAACAGCTGATGAGCCGCTACAGTTTGTTCACTCGGAGGTTTTCTGTTCTTTCTAACAGCGACACAAACATATTACTGACTGAGCACTTTAACTAAATACAGACCAACATAAAGCCAATTACCCCCGGTCACAAAACCCACAACAGTTACGGAGTTACAGACCCCCCCCTCCCCCTCCGGCACGAAGCTTGGTGATTCACGGTATAAACTACGTGTGAATCTCTATAAAAATATCAGCAGGGGAGAATATGGAGACATCTGCACCAGCTGGTGAATAAATTAACCTCACCTTATAAGTTTCATCTTCATCTTGCAAACAATAACTACGTTAGCATCACTGAGGCTCCTGCAGCTAACAGTGGTTAGCATGTGCTAGCATTACACGAACAATGAAAAACAGCATAAACTCTTAAAAATACTTCCAGTTCCTTCCTCTGCCGTCTCTCCACAGACAGTTGGTACAATCCCTCTTTCAGGAACAGTCTTTCAGCCAGTCCAGTGTTGTACTGACCGAGGTTGTGAAAACAGTCCGACACGAAGGTTCAGACACGTTCCGGTTTTTCTGACTCTAACCGGACATTGCCGTAAAAAAATACTTTACATAAATTTACATAGATTTGCATATGTAATTTTTATTTTTTATTTTTTTATACTCGCAATGGCGGAGCTCCGATAGTCAACAGGAAGTAAAGTGAGGTGGGTGGCAACAGGCAGAGCATTTGACGTCACAAACTACCCACTTCTGAAACTTCTCTCACTTCTCTCCTATATTCTGACTGAGGCAGCCCACAAAAACATGACTGAGTCATTTTTTTTCACACTTTGCTGCTGATAGGCCCTCCAGAGTCCCAAATGTACATAATCAAATGATTAAAAAGTTGGTTTTGGATAATATGTCTCCTTTAATCTTTTCAGCTAGGCTAACCAACTCATCTTAGCTCTCTGTGCAGTTTGTTCGTGCTAGGTTAGTAGCTAAAGTTCACGTTAGCTAATGTTAGCTAAGATAGCTGTGTTCTGCAGCCGTAAGCCAGCTACCATTCAAGCCAACATTAGATGATATCTAACGTTAGCTAAAGACAGCTGTCTAGGTGCCAGTAGCTAGCTAACGTTAATGTTAGCTACTAACCTAGCACGAACAGACCGCACGGAGAGCTAAAATAGTTAGCTAGCACCACCGAAGTGCGCAGAGCTCAAGCTACACAACACACCACACAAACATGAAATTAATTTAACCAACATTAGTACTTACTTGTTATTGTCTCCATCACGAGTGACAATGGGGTGCCTCCATTTCAGATGTTCCAACATTGCTGTTGTGCTCGTGTGGTATGCCAACTCCATTTGGCAAAGAGCGCAAATAACGGCACCTTTCCGTTTGGGACTAAACTTGAAGTATTCCCATACCTTTGATGATTTAGGGCGCGTTTTTTTCGGACATTTTCTTTTATTGGGACTTTGTTGACAAAAATGTGAGGAGGTTGCTGTTTCGTCCATTCTGCAATGTTTTTCCCAAGTGTGGCGAGCTGTGGCGAAGCGTCGACGCAAAAATATGACGTTGACGTATTTTTGACGTTGACGCGTCGCTACAGGCCTAGTTGGAACCATGTACAGGTGCGCAGTCGTGGGTGAAGAGGGAGTAGAGGAGGGGGCTCAGCACACAGCCCTGTGGGACACTGGTGTTAAGGGTTAGGGTTGAGGAGGTGTGGTTGTCTGAGCAGATTGGGGTCTGTTGGTTAGAAAGTCCAGTATCCCGTTGCAGAGGGAGGTGTTGATGCCAAGGTTGCTGAGTTTGGTAATCAGACCGGAGGGGATGATGGTGTTGAATGCTGAACTGAAGTCAATGAACAGCATTCTCACATAGGTGTTACTGTTGTCCATATATGTATGTATATGTGTATATGTATATATATATATATATATATATATATGTATATGTGTATATGTATATATATGTATATGTGTATATGTATATATATGTATATGTGTATATGTATATATATGTATATGTGTATATGTATATATATGTATATGTGTATATGTATATATATGTATATGTGTATATGTATATGTGTATGTATATATATGTATATATGTATATGTATATGTGTATGTATATATATGTATATATGTATATGTATATGTGTATGTGTGTATGTATATATATATATATATACACACATACATGTGTATATGTATATGTATGTATGTATGTAGATATATGTGTATATATATATATATATATATATATATATATATATATATATCCAGTGTTTGGATATAAACATGGAATACAAAAATACAGAAAAACTCTCCCATGACTGTTGCCTCCAGAGGAAAGGAACTCTTGATGTGTTCTTGCTCTTGCAAAACAAATGTGTTTTTAAGAGCTTTAAGAGTTCAGCCTCTCTAAAACAATGTGGGGTAATTGGCCTGACATTTCTCTGCCTTATTTGGCAGCTGCTGATAACCGAAGTGGATATTGTTGTTCCCGAGCTACAGCAGGATGTGATGTCACTAATCCCAGCCTTGAGCAGCTGACCCTCTGCCAAATACCAACCTCCCTGAGTCTGACGGCAGTCTTACCTCAAATAAAAGCCTCTGTGCTGCTGTGTCTGTGATACTGAAGTGTTGATTTTGCTTGCAGCTCGTCAGTTAGTTTATTCTAAGAAATAAGCTTGTTTTTCCACTGGAAGAACACTCTTTCCAGTTGATTAGGTATACCTTGCTAAAACTAATGGGCCAGATCAGTCAGAGATACATCGCTAGAGGCGCAGCCTCCTTGACAAAGTGCGTCAGATGCGTCTATGGAGCGGCTGCATGCACAACTGGGCGATCAAGATTAACAAGATTGATCAAAAATGTTGATTAGATTAGAAAAAAATGGTTTTCAAGAAGCATGACAAAAACCAGACTGAAGAACAGTTTCTTTCCACACACTATCACTCTGATGAACAGTTAACTTCAGTCATACAGTGTCAGTAACACTAAAATTACTTACATAAAACTTCTAAATGGTGTATTTGCACTTTAATGCACAGATACGCATCATCCATCGCTGTCCAATATAAATCCTGCATGCTGTGTCCACCCATTTTACACTCAGTATTTATGTTCTTTGCACTATTTGTATTGATTTAAATATTGTATATTTGGTAAGGCTGTTCAATTAATCGACATTTTATCATGATAGGAAAGGAAAGTGTAACTGAGGACTTCCTTGCAAAGGGTTTTTGACAAATGTCCACTAAATGCAGCATGTTTCTGAAGTTTAAAAAAATAATTTGAATAATCGTGATTTCAATTTTGACCCAAATAATTGTGATTATGATTTTTTCCATAATCGAGCAGCCCTAATATTTGGTAATTGTTGCTTTTTAGATGTACACCTTTTTTTCAACTATTTCTATATATGTTCGGTATACATGATAATATCGGCACGTCATCGATACCGGCCGGGATAAGCTTTCAAATGAAAGGCATTTATGATAAATAGGGAATTATTTTGGACAAAGGTCTGGTCAGCACACCTTGATAATTTGTTTGATGGTTGAAGAATAAAGTATTTCAACTGTTTGAAGGTCTTTCTCTTCTTTTCTTACTTTAAAAACATGTTTTGTTTTGCTCAAGCAGACGTATATCTGTTGATTTTTAATGTGGATTCTCTCTCTGCAGACCTTTCAAAGAACAGACTGACTGATGTCCCCTCAGAGGTCTGCCACCTGGTTGCCTTGGAGACACTAAACATGTATCACAACTGCATCAGGACCATCCCTGACACCATCATCAGCCTGCAGTCACTCACCTCCTTAAACCTCAGGTACATTCACACACACTTGGTGTCACAGTGTGAGAGCTTGAGCTGAGGTGCTGTCCGTTACTCTCTCTCCTGTACCAGGGAGGATTTGTGCATTTTAAGAGGGTATTGCATTCTGGGTATGATGCAGCAGTGCTGCAGAGTCTAGCCTGTGCAGTAAGTCTGAAACAGTACTTTCTGAACCGATGCAGATTTTATGAGCAGGATTACCAGTAAGCTTTGTCTGTCAGTAGTATGTGTAGCATAATTGTAATCCTGACTGATGCTACATCACGACTGTTCATGTTAAACTGACAATATACACAGTGTACATACATATACAGGATATGTTCACCGCAGGCTTAAGTTAGTACTCTTAATAATAGAATAGTAGAATACTGATATTAATTATGGTCAAAACTGGGAAAATACTCAGAGACAAGTTGAAATGAACCAGAATTATCCTTTTATTTGACCCCACATTGGCGGCCGTAATGCCATGTTGGTCATGTTTTTTTAGCTGTGAAGTATGTACCCTGTGCGTGCGTGCGTGCGTGCGTGCGTGCGTGCGTGCGTGCGTGCGTGTGTCTGCAGTCAGATTTGTGCCCCCACACTGGGAGCGCAACATCAGACTAAATCAGAGTGACGATGCAGAATTAAAGCAGTGTTATTGTCCTTTAATGTGAGCAGACTGTGTATTGTGTGTGGGCTTACAGTCGCCATGCTTCCAGTGTTCTGCCCTCTGAGCTGTTGTACAACTACGTGAGCCATTTTGTGTGTGTGTGTGTGTGTGTGTGTGTGTGTGTGTGTGTGTGTGTGTGTGTGTGTGTGTGTGTGTGTGTGTGTGTGTGTGTGCGTGCGTGCGTGTGTGTCTTTTACCAGTGCTACGCTGTTGGTGGGGGCATGACTCTGTGTCTCTCTCTCGCAAACACACACACACACACCCAGTCTGTCCTGTAAACAACAGGAAGGACAGTCTGCCTTCCTCTCCAGTACATACATTTTGAAATACCTCCTGTCTGTCCTTAAGAGTGTAAGAAATTTTTTCCAGAGGTAAACAAGAAGTTAGTTCCCTAAACCGCAATAGCAGGTTTACCAAAGATTTTCCATTATAAGGCTATTGTCCGTTTTGCTTGTAGAGAACACGTTTATAAAAAAATTTTCATGAAGCTTTATTCCATGTCCCTCTGGATATAGACCTAGCAGAAAGATCCTAGGTTCCAGATCTAATCTAATTGAGAGAATCTCCTGTACCGACAGTCTAACCTCCTCCCAAAACTCCCTCACTCTTGGACACTGCCAAAGGCAGTGAAATAAAGTGCCCTTATTTACCCCACATCTATTGCAGGTGTCTGGGATATTCAAATTAAATTTGTTTAATTTTGCTGGAGTAATATACACCCTCATTAACCAATAATATTGTAAGAGTCTTAGGCGTGTATTACCTGACCCTTTCTGGGCTGCTTTACATGCGTTACGCCAATGTTTCAATGATAGTTCCTCCTGTAGATCTGTTTTCCATGCATTAAATTTAGACTCAGAAGAGTCAGGAGAGAAGTCTCTCAGTAAATCATAAAATTCAGAGATGATGCCCTTTCCAAAAGGATTTTTTGTAAAGATTTTCTCCAGTATTGTTAGTGGGGGGCAAAACATATAATGGGTTTGGTTTGTTTTGATAAAATTCCTTAGCTGAAGATATTTAAAAAAATGTTTGCGAGGGATGTATATTTTCTAATTAACTCCTCAAAGGATAAAATATTCCCATCGTTACCATAAATATCTTTTACTTGTTTTACCCCTCTAACTGCCCACAATTTGAAACCAGCATCGGCTCTCCCTGGTCTGAAGAAGTTGTTGCCCCAGATTGGGCTGAAGTAAGAGACGGAGGGGGGGTCTTTTAAGTATTTCCTAACTTCTTGCCAGACTCCAATCCATGTTTTTAACTATAGGATTAGAACACAGTATTTTGAGTTTTTTAGGTTCATCTGAGAATAGATAAGTATAAGTATAGATAAGTGGGGAATGGGAGTATGATTCAATATCCTTCCATGTTAAGGGTCCGTCTCTGGTGAAGTAAAACATAAACATTCTTAACTGTACTGCCCAAAAATACCACAGCAAATTAGGGCATTGTAACCCCCCTCTGTCGTAGGGTAGATATAAAAGAGACAGACGCAGCTAGGGCGTTTATTATTCCATATAAAATTATTGAAATTTTTTTTCATTCTGGGGAAAAAGTCTGAAGGAGGCGGCAGGGGGATATTCTGAAATAAATATAAAAGTTTAGGAAGAATGTTCATTTTAAGTATATTAATTCTACCAATCAGAGAGATAGGAAGACCGGACCATCCCGCGATTGATTTGGATATAGATGCCACCATTGGGCTGTAGTTAGCTTCCACTAAGTTTTCCAGTTTAGGAACAATTTGAATTCCCAGGTATGTAAAGGAATCCACTGTTCTAAAATGACGAACATGAGTGGGTGGATCCGACCTCTCCCTTGATTTGAGAAGCATTATAGAAGATTTGGAATTATTAATTTTATAGCCAGACAATATGCCAAATATCTTAATTAGGTTCAGGAGGGATGGAATAGACTTATCTAAATTTCTAAGGACAAGAATGACATGGTCAGCGTAAAGAGCTATTCGATGATCAGATTCTCCAATGCCTATACCCGTAATTCCACTATGTCCTCTCACAGCAATGGCAAACGGTTCAATTGCAATTATGAAAAGTAAGGGGGACAGTGGGCAACCTTGTCTACAGCCTCTTTTAATTTTTATCGGTTTCTAAATGTTGTTGTTTGTAGTAATTTCTGCATAGGGATCATTGTACAAAAGTTTAACCCAATTACAAAAACCCTCCCCCAGGCCGAAGCATCCAAGAACCTCAAATAAATAAGTCCACTCCACCCTATCAAAGGTTTTCTCAGCATCTAATGCTAAGAAAGCCGTGTCCGATGCCCCCCTCAGGTTGTGTAAGATGTTCAAGACCCTCCTCACATTATGAAAACCATGCCGACCGATCATAAATCCATTTTGATCTGCCATTATTAGACCTGGTAGCATAGGTTCTAGTCTTTTTGCCAGAATTTTACATAGAATCTTCAAGTCTGAATTCAGAAGGCTGATCGGTCTCATATTTTCACACTTATCATTAGCTTTACCCGGTTTCGGGAGAAGAGTAATCAGGGCACCTCTCAGGGAGGAAGGAGGTATCCCATTCTGAAGGGATTCTAGAAACATTTCCAAGAGGGGAGCTCTAATTTTTGATTCAAATTTTTTGTAGATGTCTATGGGCAGGCCATCTGGGCCTGCTGCTTTTCCAGAATTCATGCATTTTATTGGTGCGGAGATTTCTACCACTGTCAAGCTCGCCCCTGATGCTGACCCTTCACATTTCTCTAATTTCGGGAAGTTGAGACTATCTAAGAATGCCGATGAGCTCTGGTCTGCTAGCCCTCCAATTACTTCAGAGCTGTAGAGTCTTTCATAAAAAACCCTAAATTTATCATTTATGGCCACGGAGTCTGTGATGAATTCCACCTTCTCAGTTGTTTTAAGCGCCAAGCTAGAATCTTGCCTGCTTTTTCTCCTTGATCAAAGATACTTTGTTTAAGTTCTAAAAGGTTAGCAGCAGCCTTGGAAGCCGAAATTTCATTGTACTGAGCTCTCAATAATAGAAGGTCTTGATGAATCTTAGAACAGGGGTTGTTAAAGTAAATATCCTCCATAATTTTTGCCTCTAAAAGCGCAGTCTTTTGTTTGGCTTTTTTAGATTTAGAGCTAGTAAAGTTAATTATCTGGCCTCTGAGGAAGGCTTTGAAAGCCTCCCATCTAGTGCATGCTGAAGTCTCATATGTATTAATCATGAAATACTCATCTATTTGTTTCCAAGAAAAGTTATTAGATCTGGGTCCTGGAGCCATTTATGTTGAAATGTCCATTTGGGGGATCACGTAGCTGTCCTGGATCAACATAAACCGGGTTATTTGTGGTGTGGTCTGAAATTAGAATGCTGTCATAATTACAGTCCTTGATTTTACCCATTAAGCTGGCTGAAACTATAAAATAGTCAATACGTGAATACGTATGGTGAGTTTTGAAGAAGCAAGAATACATTGCCACACCGGGGTTTCTATCTCTCCAGATGTCCCTCAGATTTAGATCCTTAATGAACTGGTGAATAATTGCTCTGCTTTTACTGTGGGATAAATCTGAATGTGTTAATCTGTCTATTTTGGGGTCGAGTGTACAATTAAAGTCCCCTGCAATAATGTATTGGCCATTAAGTGAAGCTAAAGTCAGAAATAAGTTATTGAAGAAATTTGGGTCATCACGATTTGGAGCATAAATATTAACCAAATTGAGGCATTCAGTGTAAAGCGTACCTTGGATTATCAGAAATCTGCCAAATTTGTCTGATAATACCTTAGTGACATTTAGTGGAATGGACCTATGAACCAAAGTCATGACCCCCCTCGCCTGGGAATTGAAAGGAGCTGAAAAAACTGTCCCCCGCCACCTCCTTCTTATCCTAGAATCCTCCTTCACTGCCAAATGCATTTCCTGCAGAAAAAAAATATTAGACTGTATTTCTTTTAATCTCCCCATTACTTGCTTAACTTTTTTGAGTTTTTGCAACCCTCTGCAGTTCCAAGAATAAAATTTAATTACTACCCCACTGGACATAATATCTAACTAGAAGTAGACCACTCATGATGAAGTCTCTAGCAGACTAAGTGACCACTCCACACTCCCTGAGGAATGGTCAAGTGTCGCTATCCACTCCATCTCTAAAGTGGTCTCCCCCTCCGCTTGTCAAAAGGAAAAAATAAAATAAAACCAAACTATTATCCATTACTATTGTAAGAGAAAGCAGAAGTAATGAAGGCCATCTCAGCAGCACAATTACAGGTAGAGGTGGGCGATATATGTCGTTTGCGATAATATCGTCATTGTTGTTTTGACGATGTGCAAATTTCCATTATCGAGTATTTAAATGACTTCGACAAAAACAAT